ATCCTGGAGTCAAATTAATGAGCTCCAGCATCAGGCCAGATGTTAGGCCAATAAGGTAAGGTTAATCCAGAGATGTCAGAGCTGAACCTTAAAAATAGATGTTGATTTTTCTGTCACATGCTTTGCAAAAATTTGAAGCAAAGCTCCATCCTAATTGCTGATAAGTTGTCTTTAGGAACACTTACCAGAGATTAACCAAATAACTTGACTTTAGCCATACTATAGCCCTGGACTACTGAAGTGTGGTCAACCAAAAGCAATTTTTTTTAAAAGTCCAAATTCCAATTGATTTTGTTAGATCCTGGACACAGTGGGTCCACTGCCATTGTACTCCATGACTCAGGCTGCATCAAGACAGCCCTGGACAGACTAACTCAGCTGATGAGTATGTTCTACATCTAGCTTGCCTTTGCCCTGCTGAACTCCAGTTTAGTATGGCTTGACACACATAGTTCATTGATAAGACACTGAGGACACATGGGAATGCTGATTGTGTAACTAACATTGACTTCAGATTGTCTACACAGTAAGAAAGACTCAAATGTAAACTTTGTTAACATCTCTTAGGAGGGCTGACCTCGGCCAGACTGGACGTTTCCAAGTCATCCCCAAGGACCCTGGGGCCAACCGCCAGGGTCAGGAGCAGGAAATGCCATTTGTTCAAAACAAATGAGAAACCAGCAGCCCTCCCTATGACCGTGTCTAAAACATGTGAATAGTATGAAGGTGGCTCTGGAAAACCAGTCCTTGGTCCATTCTTATGGCCAAAGACAATCACCAAGGTGTCCATTTGGTCCCTGCCGTCATCAACCCAACAAAACTCTTCAGATTAGCCATGAATTACAGACTACATTGAGTCCACCAACATGGCTTACGTTGCATGGAGGAAACAACCCGTATTACCCTTTTATTTATTTTTTGCAACAAGCTTAAGGCTCTTCATCAACCCAACAAAACTCTTCAGATTAGCCATGAATTACAGACTACATTGAGTCCACCAACATGGCTTACGCTGCATGGAGGAAACAACCCGTATTACCCTTTTATTTATTTTTTGCAACAAGCTTAAGGCTCTTTTCACAAACTCCATCAAATGCCACACAGTGAGAACTTACAGGGAGATCTTAAACTACAAATGTAGTTGCAAAGGTTGAAAAATTTACTGATCCTAATGGTAAGGCTTATTCACAAATTCAGTACATTTTCAAATCATATTTTGAACTCAATTGCTTCGAGAGAAAGAAAATTAGTCTGCTCTCTAATAATATAAGAGCATTAGATTCTAATGAAAAAAAAGAAACATTGGCACCAAACCAGTATGCTGTTTTTTGAAAGAACAAGTGATATTAATGGAAAAGATTGCCTAAAACGCATATCCTAACTTACCACAGAAATATAAAAGTTTATATTCTGAAAATATATACTGTATTAAAGTCTGTAAGCATTTCAACCAAAATTTGCAGAAATAACTAAGCAACACATATCTACAACAAAAATATACATGCAAGACAACGCCCAAATGGTTTCCCTTAAATATCTACAAAGGCAAAGTGTAGATTTTTAAAGATTATACAAAACCATTTACAGAGAATAAAATAAAATACTTAAGAAATCTCACTTAGAGTCTTAAATACTGTGTATATTAGTGAGAGTGTCTAGACTAATATATACAACAGATCTAAGTATCTGAATACAGAAACACCGAACAGAAGCAATTCTGCATTTTAAATATTCACTTAGGAAGATTTGAAGATGTTTCTATTTGTTTCTCTTTGATAAAAAAATTTCCACAGAAACTAGATTGGAAAATTGCGTGAATGTGACTAAATTCCAAATTAAAAAAAGTTTACAAAATTTTTTTTGAACCAACAATAATGGGAAATGCAATTCAGCATTCGGTCAAGGCTATTTTTAAATGTGGATATTCAAAGATACAATTGCATTGTTCAAAGTCTATTGTGATTATTCTTCCATCATACTCAACTTCATATGGAAAAACATATTTTCATGCTTCAGAGAGAACATTTCCTAGTTTAACTATACCAAACAAGAATAATATTTTAAATTAATTCTCTACCACCTTCTCATAGTTATCCAACTTCATTCTTAGCAAGTAATTTTGATGTTTTTTACCCACAGACATTTCAAAGCTGTAAAGGACATGTCCCTTAATATTAGGCTGTGGCTTCCAAATGTTGAAGAGGTCTAACCACCTTAACACAAGTTCTGCAAAGAGTCCTCTTGGAACAGGGCTGTTAACTCAAGTGATTCCACTACAAGATGCTGGGAGTTAACTTTCATCAGGGGTTGGGACAGAGAGGGAAGGAAAGTTCTAATGCATGGCTAATAGGATGGCCGGGAGCAGGTCCCTGGCTGAAGAGGAACCCTCAACTTCCCACCAATAGCTGTTCTTCCAGACCCAAAGGAATTCTGCAACAGGGCTGCCAAGAACAACCACAATTCCTCAAAGACCTGCCCGGGTTCTAGGGAGTGACGGATAAGGGGTGGGGTGGGAGCAGAGCAGGGTAAAGAGAAAAAGAAGAGGATCTCATTGGTGGAGAATAGAGCACTGGGGTCAAAGATAAAAAATGAAATCCAATGGGCCGGCCCGGTGGCACACTGCTGTAGTGCGCCGCTTGGGAAGCATGGCGGCGCTCCCGCCGAGGGTTCGGATCCCACATACAGACCGGTTCCCGCTCACTGGCTGAGCGAGGTGCGGGAGCAATGCCGAGGGTTGCGATCCCATTGCTGGTCCCAGTCTGGTACGGGGGTGACACTGAGGGTTGCGATCCGTTGCCGGACACGGAAAAAGACAAAAAGGAAAAAAAAAAATGAAATCCAAGCCCTAGCTGGAGAAAGCTGTTAGGATCAACCCTGACACAACCATAGGTCTGAGATAGTCCACCCTGGATCAATTTGCTGTAAGTTACCCGGACTTCACCTATACATTGTCAAAACAATGATCCAGAAAGGGACAAATTCAGTGGTTCAGCCTACCCTGAAGCAAACAGATTTCACCACTTTCTGCTCAACTGGTGGAACACTCTCTTTGAACAGACTATATGCAAACCACCAAAACATAACGTGTCTTTCAAACACCCCCTGGTACACCCAGAACATACAAATTAATGGCATGAATTCCACCTGAGAAATGGTTTCACCTTCCTACCGCAGTCATTAGAGATCCTTGAAACGTTCAGAGGTTTGGATTTGGTGATATGTCTCAAGCTAAAACATTTCTGGTTCTCTCAGCAGGGAACAAAGGTGGGCATTGATCTAAAGGAATTTCTAAACATCCCCTTCCTTTTCCAACAAGAATCCCAACTCTGCTTCTACAGATGTTCAACATAACTGCCCAGAACAAACAGAAAACAAGTGGCTCTTTCTATAGAGGATTTAGCAATGGTGAAGGGATAGTCTGCGCAATATATGTGAATGAGGGTTGTCAAAGGGCTTCAAGAACGCATACAGTTCCTTTCGCAAAGGAGGAGAAAAAGACAAGCAGAAAAGTGGCAACAGGCATTTGGGCAAATGCAGGTGTTTCCCTGCAGTAATTCCCTGCAGTATAGGTCTGCAGTTCCTACAGCATCCTACATGGACAAAGGGGTGAGGGCCCAGGACGTCATTCCATGGTAGCCATGGCCAAGATGGCACAGGCTGGAGGAGAAAGGAGGAGACGAGGAGAAGTTTCCTCTCCTTCCTGACCCTCTTGAACTCTAAAGGAGAGAGGCTTTCTGTAGAGGGAACCAAGGCCATCTTAAAGAGCAATAGTCCATACAAAGTTGAGATTCACTATTCAAAGGACCATATCTCTAGCTCTAGCGTAGACACTCAACCTGTTCTTTGAAACCCAAAGGTCAGGACCATGAATCCCCTCCACCTGCCTTGCCCAGTGCACCTGCTCACCTGTAGGAGAAGACAAAGGACCAAAGAGAGATAGAGAACTGTAACCATGACTCTCCCTCTTCTCAGCCCGCCTCTCCTCCACCAGCTGTGCCCAACCTTTACTGCTTCAGTCCACCCTCTCCAAGGAAGGGCCAAGAGCTGGTGGCTAACGGGAAAGGAGAAGGGGAGAGGAAAGGACCTCTGGGAGTACTCAGGGGCTGTGAGAAAAATGGAAAACTCTTGCCACTGCGATCCTAACTTTCTCTGGGTGCTTGACCCATGACAGGTTTGAGCCTCATGCAGAACACACTCTTTCATTTCTCTTCTGTAAACTTGATGTTTAGACTTTTCTCCTCACCAACCAAAACCAGAACTCTTCCCTCCCCACAGCTGATCCAGGGACTTTAGTTGGATGGTCTAAATGCAGCTGCTAGAGTCCCCCCTGCAGCTTAGGGGCACTGGAGCAAGGAGACCTCATCCCTTGCTATTGCTCCCTGTATGTGAGTAAACCATTAGAAAAAGGATTTGGGCTCCTGGAGGCAAAAAGGTTCAGACCCTCTGCAGATAGCTCAGCAGAAAGGGACCCCATCCCCACCTCCCTCGGAGGCCAAAACCAGAAATCGCTGCCTACATGGAAGAAATGGACTCAAAAACCCAAGCTCAGTCATTTTACCCAAAGAAAAGTCTTACTTTTCTTTGCAATCCCCAGGTAGGGCCTATTCCCCACTCCTTCCTGACGTCACACAATTAGGGATTGCTGGGTCTGTTTCAGGACCACTCAGGCTGAGAGGGATCTTTTTAAAGACAGCAGAAGGAAGAGAAAACTCTTCCCTGATTTCTTCTAAGAACAAGCCTAAAGAACTAATATTATATTATTACGGCTGAGAACCATTTTACAAGTAGAAGATCTGGTACAGAAATAACCTTTTTACCCACAGATATCCTTCCGTTTTCATCTCTCTGACTTTTATTTCTACGTGGTTCATTGCTAGAATGCACCACATGGCACAAACCTTGTATGGGATTTGGTCCAGGGCAGTATGAAAATAGTATCTGTGTGAACAACAGACATCATAATATATAAGCAAAAATAAATAAATAAAATAAGTCCGATTAAAGAAAAAAACGTTTTCCTAGTAGTTCTTGTTTTTGCAAAACTAGCTTTACATATAATACACATAAATTATCAGAATTTCCACTTACATTGTTTTAAAAATATATATTTAACAAAACATTTCTAAATGTACAATATCTGGGTTTGTAAATCACTCAATTGGGTTTTAAGACCAAGCCCTGATAGTCACACAGATTTGTAGGAGAGGAGACTGAAGCCGGGTCTACACAAACATTTTGCTCATTGGTCTGGAAATTCCCCAGGATGGATCATCCCTTGGCAAATGATCTTGAACCTAACCAGAGAGAGCCATGACAGCCACATCTCCAAATCAGAGGCACTGTGTAGACACAGCCTGAGTCAGAAGGATGGGGGAAAGAGGTCTTCCCCTTCCTGGACCACAATGGTGCATTTCAGCAAGTAGGGAAAGGCCAGCAGGACCCTGGGAAGATACAGCCCTCAAGAGTCCTCTGGCCAGCCGGGGTGGGGACATGGGGGAGGCCAAGTATGCCACATTTCCCATCTGTTACACAAAATCAAACCAATGAAGAGCAACCAAAGGACACGAGGGAATGGACACAACCCTAGGTATAAAGAGACACCTAGATAAACTCCTTGGCCGGAACAGGCACTGTGCTCCAATTTCCGAAACAGGGCGGAGCTGGAAGTCAGGCGCCCTTGAGCACGGGTGCAGGTGAGCTGGGGCCTTCAGACTTCGTAAATCTTGTCCTGCAGGTAGCTGAACAGGGAATCCAGGCCTTTGGAGGAGCTCCAGAGTTGCTTGAGCATGACGCATTCTTTCTCGTTCACATCTTCAAGCACTGATTTCAGGAAGCTCCGGACGAGGCATTTGGACTCCTCTAACACCTGAAGGGAAAGGCACAAGCCTCGTTAGCTGGGCATCGGGGACTTTGTTCCAGAACTGTACTTGGTCTATGAGGCACCACTCAACCTTCCAATGTTCAAAGGCAGAGGAAGCAGCCCCTTTAGCCTGGACTTCCTGGTTCCATGTTTCCAGCGCAGCCCTGAATGCATTCCAGGTGTGTCAGATGTTGAGCTTCAGTCCCTACAATGACTCAGTGGAGCCCATGTTACCCCAGACCACAAGGGCCTTGTCTTTTACCGAAGGGTGACATAAACAAGGTGCCATTTTCTATAGGTATCAAAAAAAAGTTTGGGAAACACTGCTTTAACCTCCTCATGCCTCATTTCCATTGTCTGAAATAAATAATAACACCTAACTCAAGGATCACTGAGAACACAGAATGAGATAAGGAAATGAACTAATGGTTGTCACAGTATCCATCAGACCCACCCCAACAGCAATGCCCCTTGTCCAGGCTTAGTAGTAAGAGCAGTAGTAACAGTGGGAGTAATCACTGTAGTAACAAGTAGTAATTGTAGCAATCCTTATCATAATAATCACAGTGATGAGTAATAATAATTGAAGCAATCATAGTAATTGTAATGAATAATAATGGCAATAATCATTGTAATAGTAATTTTAATAACAAGAAATAATAATCATAGCAACAAATAATACTTGGCAGAATCATACCAATAATATTCATTGTAACAATAATCATAGTAATTACGGTAAGAATAATCATAGTAATAAGCAAAAATAATCATAGTAATAATGGTGGGAATCATCACAGTAGTCAGTAATAATAACTGCAGTAACCACAGCAATACTAATTGCAGCCATGAATAATAATAATCATAGCAATGAGAAATAATAATTGTAGTAACAGTAGTAATAATACCAAAGCCACTATGACCACCATTAACCAACAGTCTCTATGAGAAACACTTGTCCTGAATCCTTTCAGGTACTCCTCATGACAACTCTGCAGGTAGGTGGTGTTTGCCTCCCCATACTACGGGTGAAGAACCCAGAGCTCAAGGAGATAATGCAGCCCAGGGTGCCTGGCTGCTTGTGGTGGCTGCAGCTGGAGAACCAAGGTCCGGCTGATCCTCTGGCAGAGGCAGGGCCGACGTGAGGCCTTCGAGCATCCCTGCGCCGGCCTACCCCAGCCACTGCTGACAGCAAGGCTTAGGTTCCCACTCTCCCCCAAACACTTTCAAACAGAAAAAAAGCAAGAAGAGCGCTTCCTGGCACTAGCAGGCTGGAAAGGGCTATGACTCTATTCCCCAGCTTGGGCGGGAGGCTATAGGGTGGTGGGAAAGGGCTGGAAGACCCAGAGGGCTTCTTTCCTCCCAGGAATCTCTCCTAAGAACACCATCTCCCAGAGGCCGTGGGCTTCTGTTGGAGTAGATTCCTTTCTCAAGAAATCACCCCAAAGCTCCTGAATTCACACCTATGGATAGGAGTCTTTTCAACAGCTGGATTCACCTGAGCCCACTGCTCACAGAACACAGAACACACTTCCCACTGTAGCTTCCAGGCCTGGCTTCCTGCTTCCTCCTCAGTCTTACTGTCTCTCACTGATCATGAACCGCTGCCTAAACGCCCTGTGGATTGCCCTGCTTAGAATTTCTACCTGCCTCTCTGTGAAGCAGACCCTTGGGAAATGAATCAACCCTGTTTGCCTGGAACTATGGGGTTTCCCGGGGTGCAGGATTTTCAATACCAAACCCAGGAGAATCTCAGGCAAAGTGAGATGAGTTGGTCACCCAAGTCCTCAGGACAATAAAAAATGAATACATATAGAGAGATTAGCAAAGCACATGGCCCAGATGAATGTTCACCAGCAACGGGGAAACCATCACACCCCATCATCACCAGTAGTTAAGCTTCCACAGAACAGGGCTTACATACAGTAGGTGCCCAGTAAACCCCTGAGGAGGCCAATCAGGAGAATCCAGACAGCTGGGTGCGGGTACAGGCAGAGAGGGAGAAGGAACAGAGGGTCAGGGGTCTGGCTCCCTGTTTCTGAAGCACAGAGAGAATCCTGGGGGCCTTACTCTCCCAAAGTGCCTTTCTCAGCTCCAGAACTGGCCCTGTGGCTCCAGGAGTGGCATTTTCTCCACCTTTCCACAGGATGTTCCTCTACCAAGCTCAGAGTGACGGTGATGAGATAAAATCAACACTTAATTAAAAACTGGTGCCTCTGCAGAAGTGTGATTTATTTATCTATTTTTCAGTGTGTCTTCAGAGTCAAACGGTAATGTTTACCTGTGCAAGCATGTAAACCAAGCACTGGGAGAAGAAACGAAATACAGGGCAGTGTGTGCTGCCCTCCCTGCTCATCTCTGGGCTCCTTTGATACGCTTTGTCCTTGCCTGCCTTTTAAAGCAGTGCACTCTACCCCGGAGAGTAAGTCTCTCCGTGAGGTTTATCCAACCAGAGATGACAGAGGCTATGTAATAATGCTGACTGTCTCCCTCTGATTTAAGCTCTCAATACAGAGAGGAGGCATTTATCAAATTGCACAGGGCCTTTTGTTTACTCCCTGCATGATCTCTGGCAAGTCAATTAGTTCCTCACTGTCCTCATCTGTAAGATGGGTCTATTGCAAGGACAAGCACAGGGGAGATGCAGGAACTCACCACAGCACTGCAGGATGCCATCTCCTTGACCCGCAACATGACCTCCTGGCTGAACGTGGTGGGCCAGAATACCTGGGACACCAGTCCTCTGCTGCATGCCTCCTGGGCAGTGAGCTTCCGCCCGCAGAACAGCATCTCATTGGCCTGAAAAAGCAAAGGCAGGGGAAGGCTGAGGGCCCAGAACTCCGCTATGTTTGTTAGTGAGTCCTGAGCTTGCCACAGGCAACCATCACTGCTTTCAAGCACATGACTCTTAGCCTGGGGTCGGATAAGCTTTGGGAACTGCATGCAAACTTTTGCCTCTCTGTGCACTTTTCTGAGCAGAGGGTCCACAACTTTCATCACATTCTCAACAGGAGCCATGTATTTACTGTGGCTTTGTCTGCACAGTACCCCTCCCCACATCTGGTGGCAGACCCATGGGGAGGGCATGTGTTGTGGGCTGGTACATTTCAGTGCTGATATCCTGGCCATGACAACAGGTCCAGGTATGAAGAGGTGATCCACCCTAGATAATAGAGATCTTCCGTGAGGTTTCCAACTGCAGGGGATAGGGAAGACTCTTTCTTCCTCTCTGGTTGTAGGCTAATGTCAGTGAGCCCAGGGGCCACTCAAGGCCACATTCCTAGTCAGTGGACAGCTGGGTCCACAAGGAAAGGAGAAATGGGGAGAGAGAGAGAAAGAGAATCCTAACAGCTCTTGAATTCCTGGGCCCCATCTCCGTAGGGAAGTTCCACTTTTTGGACTTTCCAATTAAGGGAACTACTAAGTTCTGGGGTTTTATTGTTTGTTTGTTTTTTAATTAAGCCAGTTAAAGTGTGTCCATCACTGGCAACCAAAAAGGTCCTAAATAATACCACAATACCAAGGCAGAGAGGTGCAGCTCTCCCAGTGGCCCAGGGCTGGGCACAGGCACTGTCCGGTCGTGAGGGGCAGAAAGCAGCCTCTGCACTCTCGTGACCCGGGCTACCTCTGCACCCCACTCATCTTTGTTAGGTGACACCTGCTGCCCATGGAGAGCTCAGTGGGGTTCGCTGGCTGAAAGAAGGGGACGCCTACTAGCATGTCCCCTTAACTCTCTGGGCCTCGGTTTCTTCATCTGCAAGATGGAGGACAATACAACCTGGCTTTGCAGATGTCTAGAAGAGCAATACCAAGGCAGAGAGGTGCAGCTCTCCCAGTGGCCCAGGGCTGGGCACAGGCACTGTCTGGTCGTGAGGGGCAGAAAGCAGCCTCTGCACTCTCGTGACCCGGGCTACCTCTGCACCCCACAGAATATCATCATGTGTGAAAGCACCTTACACAGTGTCTGGCATATAGTAGGTGGTCAACGCAGGCTTGAAGACCTCGCTGAGATAACCCGCTCAGTCCTTTGTAATCAGAGTGCCCATGAGGTTTTGGTGTAAAACACGAAACAGAGAACACATTTTTCAGAATGGAAAGTATTAAAGAGACAACAGAAATTATCAAAAACTAGCAGCCATTCCTGTGCAAACACTCGGTAGCAGCAATTCTTTAGTGAGTGTCTAAGTCTGAGGTAAACCTCCCATTTAAAAGGTTCTGCCCCAAGGACCTCAGTCTGGGGCAGGAGAGACAGAAGGAGGATCCCAGAAATCCAGAGTGCAGAGGGGGCACTGAAATCAGTCTGCTGGGGATAGGAGAGGAGATGGAGCCCGAGCTGAGCTTGCGAGGCCTCGGGAGTTATCAGGACAAAGGGAGGGCTAGAGAAGGAGGTGTTCCTGGCCTTGAGGACAGAACTGAGCAGGGTTCAGAGGTGAGAAGTAGCAGTGTGCCCAGGGAACCACAAACATTTTAGAGTTGCTGGCATATGAATGTTGAGGCAAGAAATCAAACAGAAAAAGTAGCAAAAAGATCTGGGTCATGAAAGACGTCGAGCTATGCTGAGGAGCTCAAACTCAATCCAGGTGACCCAACAAAGGCTTTGTAAGAAAGTACGGGGGTGTCAAGGAAACCTCAGGCCATGTGGTGCTTGAGAATTTGAGAAACAAGAGGGTGAAGGAAGGAGTTTCCAGCAGCATCCATCCCAGTAGAGCAGGATGACAACACAGGGCTGACAACAGGCCACTGGGTTTAACACACAGGGGCTCATGGTGTCCCCTGCAACACACAATGGCAGGGTTTTTCTTTAAAACTAGGTGAGACCACCTACACTCACATATGTGGGTGCTCAGACTTCAGAACCCAGAGCCCCTGGTTTGGAGGAGTGAAAGGTACAAGTCTGCCCACCCCACCCTCTACAGGCGCAGCTCAGTTGAGACTACACCCCTTTGTCCTCCACAATACTTTCCTGTTCAAACACAGCCATTGTCCTGAGCCCTTGGGGCAGGTGCAGACAAGAACTTCAGGATGCCTCACTTTGCCCCGAAGGCAAACTCTTATGAAAACATGCAAGGACTTCGGAAAAGAACTTGGAATAAGGAGATGGAAATCAGCGACCAACCACCTCCAGCGAGAAGCGGGTTAATGGGCAGGAAAGTTGAGATTTCAACAACAGAAAAAACAAATTCAAGTAGCGCAAAATCCTTAGGAAAGCTAAAGTCACGACAGGTTCCAGACCTTTCCACACCAGGGGTCACTGAGAATAGAATGGCATCTTCCACACCCCGAAAGGAAAGCGAGGCTCACTGGAGAAGCCGCAGGTAGCCATATCTCCTCCCATGAATTTGGATTCGGATCCACCTTGAGCTACTCCTTGGCAGGCGCAAGGCACAGGGCAAGGCCTCTTTTCATACCAGAAGTTTTCATGGCCACCGCTGACACTGTCCCTCCAGTGCCCTCTCTGAAGACAGAACTTAAGGCTCCATCCCCACCATCCTTGCCAGGCACAGGCCACACCAACCACCTTTCATCCAAGGCCTTCCAGCCTCACTCCCCACTCAGTCTCCTCTGCCTGGAACGCTCAAGGCCATGTTAAAATGTCACCTCCCCAGAGGGGCCCTACCTGTACAAGGTGGGACCGCTATTTAAGACATGGAGTTGGGGAGCAGGAGACCCAGGAGCAGGACTCATCCCTCTTGTCCACCCCTGTGTCCCTGGTGGGAGGGGGAGTGCCTGGCACCTTGCAGATTCTCAGGAAGTATTTGACGGGAGGGTGTGGAGAAGCCCGGCTGATAAGTGGGGAGGAGGGGACTCCCCGAGAACCTTCTGAGATCCCAGCTCAGACCTGCGCTTAGGAGATGAGGATTAACCCACTAGAGTGGAGTTGAGAGTTTGTGGCTAATATCAGCAGAGGCTGATCTGAGGGCCCATGAGCCATCAGAGGAAGCCAGACAAAGCATAACACCACCTCATACAACTACTTGGACACTTTCTGAACTGCGCCCTGGTCCTGGCGGTGCTAATCTCAGACTCACTCCTCAGATGCAGGTTCTACTTTATAACATGCTGGGTGAAGAGCCCAGGCTGTGAAATCAGACAGCTGGTGTTCAAATCCCACAACCGCCACTACCACGGTGCGACTGCAGACAACTCACTTAACCTCTCTGAGCCTGAGTCTCCACATCTGCCAGACAGGGATGACGACTGTCCCACCTCACAGGGCTGTGGTAAGGATGGACTGAGTTAATGGCATTCCAGCCCTGGCACACAGGGAGTGCTTTCCAAGTACCAGCTCTTTTATGACTCCCCCGCCAGACCTGCTGTTAGTGCAGAGTCTGACCGCAGCCTACAGCAGACCCCCCACCTCCATGGAACCCGCTCTGCCTGCTGACCACCTGGAGAAATGGCGAGTTCCTTGTCGTGTCTGAGTTTAACTTTCCATCTGTAGGATGGGAATCAACGGTTTCCACATGGGTGGAGCCTGCCTTGTGATCACCTGGTCCTTTCCTTCTTATTCCTGGACATGCAGCTTGATAACATTTCCCAGCCTCCACAACACAACTGAGTTGTGGCCAATGACACGTGAGTGGAGTGAAGATGCCCCACCAGGGACCTCCCAGGTGATCCTCCAGGCTCTCTCTTCCCATTCATTGTCTGGAAGCAAAGGGAGAGGGAGATCTCCTAGATAGAAGACCCCTGGATCCCTCATCAGTGTAGACAGCTGCTCACCAAACACACCCACGCCGGACTACAGCCAGAGATAGAAATTTTGCTGTTTGGGCCACTGAGACCGTGGGTTGTTACAGCACACGGCTACCCTAATACACGGCCTTACCAGGCTATTGTGAGGAGTGAGACAACGTGTGCAAAGCACCTGGATAAGTGCCTGGCACGGAGCACGTACTCAATAAACAGGCACCTCTGCCATCTTCTCAGGATCGGCCACTCCAGCTGGCACTGACTGCGTGGAGGAGCCGAGATCCGTCCAGCCAAAGTCCTGGCTCCTCTGGAGAGGCTGAGGAAGCTCAAACAGATGCCTCAGGCTGACAGCACCCCCGGATTTTGATCCGTACAAAGAGCTATACCCTAAACCCAGGACAGAGGAAGGGTCTGCCAGGACCCAAATCCACACAGACAGGGAGGCCGTGGGAGAGACAGGCTTACCAGCGCGACCCCCAGGATCTGGGGGAAGGTGTACGAGGAGCAGCCGGCGGGCGTGAGGCGGATGGTGGCATAAGGCGTCTGAAACCAGGCCTTCTCACTGGCCCACACGATGTCGCAGAGGGGCAGGATGGAAGCACCCAGGCCCAGGGCAGGCCCGTTGATGGCCACCACAATGGGCTTCTTAAACTGGATGAAGGCCTTCACGAAGTCCCTAGGGGAGAGAGCAGAGCCTCTTTAACAGGTGGCCCCACTCACTGAGCCCCACGGGCCACCCCTGACTCTCCCGGTGCTGTGACCCTCAGGTCATCAGAAGTGAGCAGGTACCAGACAAGGGCCTCGCACACCTGGACATGGAGGCACGGGGCTGCCAAACTGTAGAGGAATACTGACGGGGTGGCGACATGTACCGGTTTGCCCAGATCATCCAGGTTCATGCTCCTTCCCCCAGCCCAGGGGGCTGCCAGACTGTAGAGGAATACTGACGGGGTGGCGACATGTACCGGTTTGCCCAGATCATCCAGGTTCATGCTCCTTCCCCCAGCACTGCACCCAGCTACCCTCTCCTTCCATTCTCAAAAGCTATGATGTGGACAGTGAATTATATGGATCCCCTAGGTACTGACAGAATTATATATATCATCCTAAGGAGGACAACCTGAATGTGAAGGTCCAGAACCAGAAATGGAAACAGAACAAAAAGAGGGCTACAGAGAGGTTTATTTCAACTCAACAAGACAATGAATGTTATGACTTCACTGGCCGCACGGGGCTGCCAAACTGTAGAGGAATACTGACGGGGTGGCGACATGTACCGGTTTGCCCAGATCATCCAGGTTCATGCTCCTTCCCCCAGCACTGCACCCAGTTACCCTCTCCTTCCATTCTCAAAAGCTATGATGTGGACAGTGAATTATATGGATCCCCTAGGTACGGACAGAATTATATATATCATCCTAAGGAGGACAACCTGAATGTGAAGGTCCAGAACCAGAAATGGAAACAGAACAAAAGGAGGGCTACAGAGAGGTTTATTTCAACTCAACAAGACAATGAATGTTATGACTTCACTGGCCGAAGGTGGAAAGGGGTGGCTTTGGGAGAAATGGATTCCTTGTACTTGGAGGTATTCCAGTTTTGGCTCAGTGATCACTTTGGGGATGTTGTAGGGGGAATTCAAGCATCAAATGGTGGGCACAGGTTGAGATTGATGACACTGAAGATTTATTTCAATCCTAGGATGGTATGAATCTGAATTACCTACAGGGATGCCAGGGTCTCTGTGTAGGCTGGCTTTGACTAAAACTGGGGAAGGATATCAGGCTGCCATGTAGGCACGAGGCTTCTGGTACCATGGCTACGGGATTGGGCAGTATCTCTTCTCCCCGCCCTTCTGCACTGAGCAAGTTAAACTATTCAGCAGAGCCACCAGTGATAACCTCTACTTGCTTTGCCTTAGAATGCTATTTTCCTTTCCCCTAGTTGCTATACAAGATATGTAAGTTTTTAATATTCATCTGGACATGGGAGGAAAGATCCAAAGTGTCTAGTAAAGTCTGCATCTTTCCTTATCCTCAGACGGAAGATGGGAAACTACCACAAACTCACAAGAATAAAGTCCAAATGCCCATCGCCTTGGTCTGCCTGGGCTTACCTCTCCAGGCTGCCCTCATGCCACTCCCAGCCCTGACCACTGTGCATGAGCCACACTGGCCTCTAAGAGTTCTTAGAAAACACCATTATCATGATTTGCAATTGCTCTAACTAGTTGTTTGTTTGCTTGATTGTTTTTGAATTCATCTTCCCCTTTAGCTCCTTAAGGACACCCACATGTCTCCTGGGGGCACCACCTGGTGTCCATCAGTCCTGGAATTAGTGCTCAGTAAATAGCTGTTGAATAAATACTCGAGTCTCCCAGAACAAGAGCAAAGACTGCAGAGGTGTGGCAATGACGGACCAGCTCTTCACCAAACCTGTCTTCCCTTCCCTCTGCTTCCTGGGTCTACTGGAATTTCCAGCCTCCCTTGCACTTGGCTGTGACCAAGTCACCATGTGCTGGCCAATGTGACGTGAGTAGGCACCACATGCACCACTTCCAGTCCCACAGACCTCCCACTGTGCAGTCCTCCAAGTGCATTCATCGTGATGGAGAAGACAGTCTTGAAAGACACCTGTAGAGCCACAAGATGAAGGAGTCTGGGGTCCTGAGTTACCACCTGGGGGACAGCTGTGGGCTGATCGGTAACATCTGTTTTACATTTACAAATGCAAGAAGTAAATTTCTATCATGCTATGGGTCAAATGTGTCCCCCCAAAAGTTCACGTGTTAGAAACTTGATCCTCACCATAACAGTGTTAAGAGAGTAGTAAATCTGATTATATTTGAAAGCTGGGACCTTTGAGAGGCAACTGGATCTCGAGGACTGTGCCTCATGAGTGGATTGATCCACTCGTGGAGTAAGGGGTTGATGGTTTAATGTTGCCATGGGTGTGGTTCCAATGGCTTTATATGGAGAGCAAGTAAGGTTAGCTCTCTTGCTCATGGTATTGTCTCACCATGTGATACCCTGTGTCACCACAGGACCCTGTAGAGAGTTCCCACACAGAAGTGGACCCTCACCAGATGCACGCCCTGGACCATGGACTTCCCAGTCTCCAAAACTGTAAGAAATAAATTTCATTTCTTTACAAATTACCTCGTTTCAGGTATTCTGTCATAAGCAACAG